CCACCATGTGGTTGCTGGGAATTGAACTCAGGACCTTTGGAAGAGCAGGCAATGCTCTTAACCACTGAGCCATCTCTCCAGCCCCCGAATTTTTTTTATAATAGTTAAACTGAAACTAAAATAAGACCAAACACAATATAAGAAACATTTCATAATAAAAATAAGACAAACTAAGCTTGATCATAAGATAAAATTCAAATGAGAATTTTGATAGCTAGTTTTTTACTTCTTAAAAAGATTTGTCCTGTTTTTATGTGCATGTCTGAGGATCCATGTGTGTATGTTGTAGTGTGTGTCTGTGTGTGTGTCTGTCTGTCTGTCTGTCGGTGTGTGCGTGTGTGCCCTTGAAGGCCAGCATAGTGCGCTGGGTCCCGAGCAGCTGGAGTTACAGGTGACTGTCAACTGTCTAACAGGATGACCTCACCCACCGAGTCGTTTCTCCATCACCCAGGTTTTGGTTTTTCAAAGTGATTTTGCTTCTCTTATTTGAAACAAATGCTTTAAGAATAATCTTCGTTATTTTTAAGGACACAGACTGAAATGTGACAGAGAAGTGACGACTTGCTCTGGACATCTCAGTCCTCAACACCGAGTTACAGGTTTCCCCTGAGAAAGAAAAGGTGAATTTTTTTTTTAGATAATTGTTTGTGAACTATCTTTTTTCTTTTGCTATAGACAAAGCATCCTGAGAAGTAAAGGTACTGTTTTACTGTTAGCCTTTTTCCTAATAAAGGAAACACCAATATTTAACTCCAGCCAGAGAAGTTCTTTTCTTATTTTCTGGTTATTTGGAATGCAAAAAATTTCAGACTCTTCTGGCTAAAGTGATCTTTTTGGAAATGAAAATAATTTTGTTTTTAAATCACATGTGCTACCTATGTTATTGTACAAATCAATGACCTCATCACTATGCTTCACAGATAAAATGAATGTGTGATGACACCACAGAAAATTTATTTTTAATCAACCTTTACCTCCAAACACAAACAAAGTTAAAATAAAAACATGAATAAAGTAAAAAGCAATGTGCAAACCACCACCTTCAGCCCAACTAGAGATAATACAATGGTGTTTGTGTTTGGAGGCCTTTGGCCATGTTTTTCCTGCTGGAGTTTCCTCTTATATTGTATTATTCTTCTATATCAGAGAAGGAAGAGCATATAATGAAGAGGAAACCATCATGGGGATGCAATGCGGTTAAACCTACGACATCCTACAGGAGAGGCATCCTGAAGCCCGGCGAACAGTCGGGTCTCTGAACTCAGCACAGAGCAGCTTCCCTACATCTAGGCACTCAGAACCTGGATCTGCAGGTCTTGCCTTTGCCCCATTTGTAGGTTTGTTTGGATCCTGAAAAGTCCCTGGTGCTCAGGGACACTGAAGTGGAAGTTAGCAGACGATGAACTCTGAAGATCATGGTGGAGACTCTCACTCGGTGCCTGACACCTAGTAGATGATAAATAGATGTTGAAAGAGAAAAGACATGATTGGATGCCCAGGACAGAGGCATGCAGGGAGGAAGGGGTGGAAACCCTGTGACCTTGTGCCAGATTTCAAGTCTCCTTGGGCTTCTTTTTTTTTTGATGGATGTGCTTGCATCAATCAGAGAGAAAGCACAAACCCTGAGGGTAAAGAATTCTGTACCTGGTTTGACAGAAGTCACCCCTTCTCCGACACTCTCCACAATACCAGCTCCCTCGTGGCCTAGAACTGCAGGAAGTGGCATAGGCTGGTTTCCAGCAACCATGTGATCATCTGAGCGACAGACCGACGTGGCCACCATCTACAGATTAGCGATAGAGTTTGTTGAGCCGTGATAGCGATTGAGAAGGTTTAGTACACCTAATCTGAATTGTGGTTCTGAGGAGCCTGCTAACAATCCCTTTTGCTTCTGATTCGATATAGGTCCAAGATTTTTCCCATGCTTTTCTATCTTTTCCCAGTTAAATAGCTTAAGCATCAAGGATCATCCTGTGAATTAAGGGACCCTAAAAATGTAGTTTATACAACATACAAAATGTATACATTGTTATGGAGTTAGAGCTAAACAATGAGCACCAAGAAATTACTTAATATTACCTAATTACCTAATATTAATTGCTTTAGGACTCAGGATTTTAGCACTTTACAAACTCATGAACATAAAAAATTTTTCGGGGATTATGTTAAACTTTGTACTTTCAGCGGCTGAGGTCAATAGCTAGGCTCAGCAACAGACTCATTCATGTCGGGGTGAGCATATGAAACAGGATGTTAATGGGCATCTGGACGCATCTATGTAGTATTTTCTGAGTTTTTCAAACCTAACATTTTAGAAGGTAGAAAGAGACGTTACCTTAATGCGAACTTCATGGGCCTTGGGGGGTGCGACTTCTATGTCCTCGATGGAGAAGGGCTTCTTGGTCTCCCATAGCACAGCTGCTTTGCACTTGATCACCTGGAAGAGGAAGGGTTACTGCAGCTCTATGGAGATCATCACAATTGTGTCTTTCTATTTCCTATGCACAGCGTCTGTCCACAGGTCTGCCACCCATTGTTACATAGAAATGGACACTTCTCATTTACAAGGCGTCATAACATCCTGAGAAACGTGTGACACCATAGTAGGTCAGGAAAAGGAAGGTCACACATCGGGCATTAATTGGTGTATGTGTGCTCTTTCAGGCCACGTTTGTACCCTTTTGTTTCCTGATAGTCACTGGTACTGTTCTGAAAGAGGTTGTTTGACTGCAATCATTGGATTGATGTGGGATTATCTTCTATATGCTGTGGGTATGCTCTATTACCATTGGTTAATAAAAAAGTTGCCTTGGCCTATGGCAGGGCAGAATATAGCCAGGCTGGAAGAGATATATATATAGAGAGAGTAGGCAGAGTCAGGGAGATGCCATGTAGCTGTCAAAGGAGAAAGACTGCCAATACCCACCGGTACCGATAGACTATCGCAGTCATTTCTAATAATACATAGGTTAATAGAAATGGATAATTTAAGATATAAGAGCTAACTAGGAATACACTTGTGCCATTGGCCAAGCAGTGTTGTTATCAATAAAGTTTCTGTGTGGCTATTCTGGTCTGGGCAGCCAAGAAACGAACCAACAGCCTCTGCTTACATTGGATATATGTTTAATTTTAAATTATAATTATCAATATATTTCTGAAGTGCTACTTTGTGCATTCTAGGTAAGTACTCTGTCACAGAGAACTCCAAGGCTTTGGATTTCTGAGACAATATTCTAATGAGCTTCCCAGGCTGCCCTTGAACTAGGAACCTTTCTGTCTTGGCCTTCCAGGCACTGAGATTTCAGAGATGGTCTATCATACCTGGCTACATTGTTATTTTTCTGTTGTATTCAGTATAAACTCAAGCCTGTGATTACCATAGCTCTGTTACTTACCCTGCACCTAAGAGCCTGGATTCCCTAGTCCCTCAGTTCTTGTTTGGTTGATAGGACTGGGTTTCCATTTATGCTGCATGAATTCAGTCTTTCTTTTAACTTTTTCAGTCATTCTTTATCCCAACCACTTTTCCTTGAAATGTGACATGCCACCCTAAACATGACCAGGAGTGAATTGGAACAAAACTACTGGCGACTGCCCCTTCTGTGCTGATTCTCCACCCATCTCTTCTATACCGAGTCGTGCCACACTGTGGAGGCAGAAGTCTCCAACCCCCGCCCCCCTGTTCTCACTGTGAGCTGTTGGACCTTTGACCCACTCCTAAAACAGCCCTTCTGCCAACAGAACACAGGCGTTATAATTAGGCACTTGGATAGCACGGATCAGTTGTTTATGCTGAATGACTGCTTGCATGATTCGGTACCACACACAGATTCAAGAAGGAAGATGACTTTGTGGTAAATGTAGTAACATATGTATGTATTCTTACTGTTTACAAGTGATTCAATTTTTCTTAGAAAGCTGGATGATGTTTTTTAAGAGAGCAGGGACAATTCTATAGAGCTTCTAGAGATTTTATGAGTTGTGCA